TGCCCAAAAGGCAGAGCCCAAGCACAGCCAAGGTGGCTGTGGCTTTGTTGGCTGCCTTGGCTTTTGCTGAAGTTGTGAAATGGTGCATCTCTCTCTTTAGAGCGCAGGCTCCGGGTTCCCTGTCTGCAGGGTCCTAGTGCCAGAGAATTGCTGGTTGCTTCCCCGGGAGGAACCAGCAGGAACTTCAAACAGGCTGTCAAGTAGGACTCCTGCTAGCATGGGGAAGGTTGCAGTTCTTGAGTATGGGGCTGGGGGCTACTCACGTACCCGCTGCCTTTCCTGCAAAAGTTCCTTTATTGAGGATAAGTGAGTCATAGTGTGTAGACTTCCTTCCTGGCTCTTGGAGGTCTGGGCCTTTGGAGGTGGGCTTGGCAGTCACTGGGTATTCTTGGGGGAAGGGGATAGTTTGGGAGGAGGTGGAGTTGCATTCAGATTGAGAGTGGGCTGCAGACATTTTTGGGGATAGCAAGGAGCTGGAAAGGTAAAGAAAGTCCATTTAGGATTTAGGCCCTGTCGGTATGAGATCTATAAGGCAGATACTGGAGTAGGACATTGGAGCAATGGGGTGTGTACGTGTCTTCTTTCTGGGTTCCTGTGTATATCTGAAATCCAGCCTTCCATGCTTCTAGTCCCACAGCCTCTGTTCCCCACTCAGTGAGCAAATAGCTCTTTTTTCCTGATTCCTGAGGGACTTACATCCACACTTATCCCTTCCTTACCAGTGCTTTCAGAGATGTACAATTTTGTCCTAGTCTGAAGAAAACTGAATCTTGCTAGTTACTATTGTGTTTCTTTTATCTTTGTAACCAGACTACTCTATACCCAGTACCTGATACAGTTCAGTTCAGGTGTGTGGACCCTGCTATGAGACTGCCTGGGACTCAAACCAGCTCCTCTATGAGAGGGACAAGTGAAATCAGACAGATGGGTTAGCTCAGGATCAAGGTTAGGTGAGATGAGACAAGAGGAGGTCAAGGGCTCAAAGGATGCTGGGGTGCTAGTAAAAGCAAGGTAGGAATAGTGCAGGCTCGGTGCCAAAGAGGCTTCTTCTTCTTACTTGTTCCTTAATTCTTAACAATCTACCCGCTTTCCTGTCATTTTCTGAAATAATCTCCAAGACCATTGGTTACCTATTTACCAGACAGAGATTGAGATTTTTTCCCTCCTCTCTTCCCGTTTTCCTAGATATTTCAACAGTATTTAATATACGTGGGGAGGAAAATGAATTAAATCCACAGCGTATTGGTCTCATCTCTGGCTGAGGGAACAAATGTAACTCAGAATTGTCCCATGTGACATGGGATGGGGCCCAATGGTGCTATGGAAGGATCACCTGTTTGTACAGCTAGTCAAATGTGCCCCCCTGCCATTTCTGGCCATGAGACTTAGGAGAATTATTTGACTTCTGAGACTCACTTCCATCACCTATAGGATAGAGATAATGTAGTCTGTTTTGTCTGCATCACAGGTGCATTTTGGAAGGAGATAGTGAAATATGTGTGTTAGTGTACACAGTCAAATTTGCTCCAGGGAAGGCCCTAAGAACAGACTTATCTTCTCTCTCCTAACATGTTCAGTTTGCCTTCCCATTTCCTCCCAATTCTTTTAATGTTTTTGATCATCATTCTTCCATTACTCATGCTTGAAAACTCCTGAGTTCATTCATTCATTTTTTTGTTCATGCATTCTTTCATCCATCCACTTATTTATGCAACATTTAAGTTCCTACTGTGTGTAAATCATCATTGATGTATCTTCTCAATAATGATGAAGATGGTATCTACATTTTGTTGAGCATGTATTCTGTGCCAGGCACTGTGTTAAATGCTTTCTTCAATCTTATTTAATCCTCACAACATCCCTGTAAGGTAGGTATTATTTCCCCCTTTTTTCAGATGAGGTAGCTGGGCTCAGAAAGTTAAATATCTTGACCAGAATCATACAGGTGAGGAAATAAGGAGAACCAAAGCTGTATCTAGATCTGTATGTCTCTGGAGCCCGTGCAGGCACTCTGCCTCTTTTCCCACGTGTGATCTGTCCTAGGGCCTTCTCAGCGCATTTTTGTACATTCTCTGAATTAGCTCCTATCCTCCCCTCCTTCTTCCCCTCCCTTTCCCTCTCTCCTTCCCTCCCTTCCCTGGTTCAGACCCTCCTCACCCCTTGCTCAGTGTGCAGCAGTCTCCCTGCTGTTTTCCTGTCTTTACTGAGTTGCTCCTGCCTCCACTCCAGCCTGCTCTGCCACCCATTTGATCCTCCCAAAATAGTTTTCGTTATGCCAGTCTCTTGCTCAGGAAGAGACCTGCTTGTTGCAATCATGTAGATGGACTTATCTATCTCTACCTGAATGTTAAACTCCCTGACTATCCATACTCACCTTCTAGTACATCTCAATACTGATGTGTTTATTTTCTCAATAAATATCTGACTCCATGAACTAAGGGTGATGGGATCACAAAGAGGGAAGTTGTGGACTGTGCTTTAAAAGGCTTATAGTTCGATAGAAGAACTTGTCTAGAATTCTTTACTAAAGCCAACCTAGTCGTCTTTAATATTCCCTAGTCAAGCAAAATTATACTGTCTCTACTCAGTGTGTTCATAACTTACAGTATTTGTTGGCCTTTTTACATATCCAGAAAACAGTCCATAATTCAAGATATAGGTACCCCTTTTCTTTTTCTTTTTTCAACCCCTTTTTATTTCACCTTTCTTTTGTCTGTAATTCCTTATAACATTTGTTGTCTAGATACTTTATTTTTAGACTTACATATCATTTGTTATCATGTCAGCTAATTTTTTGCACTTCTATAGCTTCTGTATTTTTTGCAAAGCACTTTCAAATGCATTACCTTATTCGGGCCTAGTAACATTAATATAGAGATGGCAGATGATATTCCCATTTTATAGGAGAAGAAACAGCCTCCAGGAATTTAGGTGACCATATAAACCTGTGTGGCTGGTGAGTTGTGAGGTTGTTCTTAGATATGAGTTCTCCTGAATCTCGAGGCAGTGTGGTCTAGGGGAGGAGCATGACCTAGGAAGAAGCCTAGAGAGGTGTGTGGTCAACACTGAGGCTAGTGGAAAATGCAGAGGGTCCCGGGTCAGGCTCTGGTTCCAGTTTGGCTCCACTCCTCACCTTCTGTGTAACTTCTGGGAAGTTACTCAGCTCTCTAAGCCTCAGTTTCCTTGTCAGCACTGTCCCCGGCCTCCCTCTCTCTTGGGGTTATTGTGATGTCCAAATATGAGGATAACAGCATCGATACTAGCTGACTTTTGTTGAGTACTTACTAAATACCAGGCAATGTCCTCAATGTTGTACATGGATTATCTTGGCTAATCCTCACAACAGCTCTCTGAGATATGTCCTTTGTTCCCAAATGACAGATAAGGAAATCGAAGCACAGAGATGTTAAGTAACTGGACAAAGTTTATGTAGTTCACCAGTGAGGCCAGGAATTGAACATAAGCAGTCTGAGTCTAGAAACAGTACTCTTAACCGTGGTACTATAAAATTGTGTTTTTCAAGGTGCTCTGTAGACTGTAAAGTGCTCTGAACATGCGAAGTCCAGGCTGCAAGGAGCTGCATGGTCCTGCCTACCTGGGTAAATGTGAATAGGGAAGGGAGGGGGCAAACATGGAGATTTTTGCAGGGGACGAGAGAAATGGTTCCCTAGGGGGTCTGGCCAGGATTGAAGATGTGGAGAGGTGTTTTGGGGCCATATATCTGGCTGTTGGCTGTCATTCTCCTGTTGGGCTATCTGGCCTGCCTTAGAGGGTGGAGTGGAGGAAGATTCTGTTTGGTTAGTGAAGTGCAGCACAGACAAGACAGGTATCACTAGATCACCCCGCACGTAGTGGAGCTATATGGGTCAGACCCCAGGCCAACCTGGTTGAGTGCTCAGGGGCAGGGAGCCTGATGTGTTGGCTCCTAGCCCACATTAGATGGTTAAATGAATGCAGTGGCATCATGACATAGCCCTCTGGAGACCTCTCACTAGAATGCTTAATCTTAAATTAAATATTTGTAATTATAAAAGTAATAGGTGGTTCTTTTTTTTTTAAGATTTTATTTATTTATTTGACACAGAGAAAGAGACCCAGCGAGAGAGGGAACACAAGCAGGGGGAGTGGGAGAGGGAGAAGCAGGCCTCCCGCCGATCAGGGAGCCTGATGTGGGACTCTATCCCGGGACCCTGGGATCAAGACCTGAGCCGAAGGCAGACGCTTAATGACTGAGCCACCCAGGCACCCCAGTAATAGGTGGTTATTAAAGAAATTTGGTGAAATATAGAAAAGAAACCATCTCATTTTTTCTATTAAGGAGATGGCTAGGAAGCAAGGCCAAGAGTGTAAGGGGCAGGTGGTTGAGGTGGACTGGGCTATGCGCTACAAGGGGCATGTGGAGCTCTCTGCTCTTATTCATCCAGTTGAACCTGATAGTCTTGGGGTTTGAGCCTGGCCCTTTATAACAGCCAGAAGGGAGAAAGGGTCTGGCAACCTTTGCCAGTGTGGGGGGAACGTAGGTACTTGAGTTGCATTGCTCTATGAAGTTATCTCCATTACTGCCCTTCCTTTGCTGTGTAGTGCGCCGGGTCTGGCTGCTTTGGCCCGGTGTGAAATTGAAATCCAGACTAATTCTATGGGTTTGGGTCCAGAGTCTAGAGTTTAGAAAAAGGAGGGAGAAAGAAGAGCCCCAGAAAGGGGGGTAAGAGACCCTTATTTTGGCTGCGTGGAGGCCCGTAGGTAGCTGATCTTTTTTGAAGTGTCACTTGATGCTTGTGGTCCTGCTGAGGCACATTGTGGGAGGGGGGAGTGTTGGGGTTGGCAGCAGTGATGCTGAGGGGTGCAGACTAGGAGGACCAGTCAGGCCCATGCTCCCAGCCCTAAACAGTAACATTTTACTCTAGAGGTGACTACTGAGGGTCTGTGGTGTGGGCAGAGGCCCTGAGTCCCTGCCTTGCTTGTCTGGCCCAGGTGAAGCAGGGGGGCACTAGGACCCAGAGGCTAACACGGTTCCTGACAAGTCTAGAGCAGCACTAGCGCAGAGTGAGACTCATCAGCTGGCAAGCAGGATTCGGTGTTTCTGGGTTCAGCAATCATCAGGCAGCAGAGAGGACTTGCTCCTCAGCCCCCATCTCTGCCCCCATCCCTACCCCGGTAGGCCACCGAGTGAGGTCCATGGACTGGGGAGGGCCGCGCCTGACGGCTTCTGTGTCTGTCCATGAGGGCCTGGAGCCCTGACCCTTCTGCCTAGGTTTCTGCCTTTTCTCTCTGTCTTTGGCCCGCTGGGGGAGGGGGTAGAGGCCGGGTGAGCAACATGGCCCAGAGCAAGAGGCATATGTACAGCCGGGTAAGTGGTCCTTATCTGGGATGGCCCTGGGAGGGCTGCTGGAGAAGGCCTGGGTGCCTGTGGACACTGCTGTGGGGGGCTGGGGAGACAGGCTGGAGCTAGGCTGGGGCCACTCACAGCAGGGACTGATGGTGTTAGGCTGGACAGGCCTCTCCTCCCAGAGTTGAACCCTCGGTGGGGACTGGCAAGGCCTGACCTTTGACTCTAATTGGACCTCTGACTAGAGGTTCCTGAGGGGATCAGACTATATTGGGGACTCTTAATGGGGTTGGTGGGTTGGAATGGCCTTACAGTGACGCCTTTCTTTAGAGCTGCTCTGTTGTTTGTCACTTGCTTTCTTTCTCTTCTGGTTGAGACTGAATCTGTACCCACTATTGTGTCCACCTGGTTCTGAGAGGCTTATTAGGGTTGGGAGGTTGAGGGAGTCTCTTGAGTTTGGGGATAGCCCTGATGTCACTGTCAGTTCTTTTTACTGTCAGATCCATGAGAGCAACCATGCTGTCCCAGGTGCGATTTTTGTCCTGGAGCCCCTGGGAGCTATATCCTTATCTTCCCCAATGAGCTCTTTAGGGAAGGGATTCGGGGAGTGACAGGCTCTGGCAGGGCTCCCTTCTGAAGCCAAGTGGAAGCATCAGAGGGAGCCCTTGGAATCTTTAGAACCAGGGAGTCACTTTCTCATGCCTCATTCATCTGTTTGCTGCAAGGCCCTTGGTTCATGGAGCTGCTATTGCTAAAAATGGCTTAGGTGTGATTTTCTTCTAAACCATGGCCCTCTTTGGAAACCTAATTTCATGTTGTGTCCTGTCATCACGGGTGTGTCAGAAGCTGAGAACTTCCAAAGGACAATGTTTAGTCTATTCCTTTGCCGTGTCCATCCATGGGGTGATAAGCCATTCATTTGGACCACTGGGCAGAGTCTAGGGGACAGTATAGGTCAGATCTGAGGGTACCTGATTTACCTGGCCTTTGTTTTTCTTTTTATAGCAACATAGTGTGGGGGAAGGATCTCCAGAGCTTGGGGTAGAGTTAATAGGACAGGGCTCAGGCCAGGAGGAAGGGAACTAAATGGTTGCATGGGCTGCGGTGAGGCATCTAGAAATGTCATGGTGGGTGTGTGGATGGGGTGGGCCGAGTCGGGTCCAGAAGGAGTGATGGTGACTTGAGGGCTGGAAGGACGCACAGTTGTGTACCTTTGAAAGGGAGAGGCCTAAGAGAGCTGTTTGACCACAGGGAAGACAGACAGCACTGGGGAGTGGAATAGGATTCTGTGGGGTCACCCACGAGTCACCTGTCTTCTCAGCTTGGGCACCTGAGTCAGGGCACTGGGTTTCGGAGAGCCCGGTCTCAATTGAGTTACTCGCTTGAGCTTCATTCCCCTCCTTGGGGGCAGTGCTCCTGAGAAAAAAGCCATGTAGTGACATTCACAGGTCTGTCAGTGAATTCTGATTTGTTACGAAATTTAAATGTAAACTCTTAAAAATTGTGGCAGATTCCAGAGGAGTTCGGAGAAGTCTTAGAACATCACTGGTATTTTTCAAAAGGGAATTTGGGGTCCGGGGTCCATTTCACCCTGAAAATGGGGTTCAGGGAAGTGACTTCTTGTCCTTCTTTAGACTAGGATCCTGACTGGGGCCTTTCTGGTGCATTAGGATGACCCCGTTGACCTGAGGCCCTTACCTGCGTATGTTTGCACGTGTCTTTCTTTCAGACGCCCAGCAGCAGCAGAATGAGCGCAGAGGCAAGCGCCCGGCCTCTGCGGGTGGGCTCCCGTGTGGAGGTGATTGGAAAAGGCCACCGAGGCACCGTGGCCTATGTTGGAGCCACACTCTTTGCCACTGGCAAATGGGTCGGCGTGATCCTGGATGAAGCAAAGGGCAAGAATGATGGAACTGTCCAAGGCAGGAAGTACTTCACTTGTGATGAAGGGCATGGCATCTTTGTGCGTCAGTCCCAGGTACCTCTACCCTTTTCTGAGTGGATGCATGTGCACATGCTCTGTTGCTTGTGCAGCTTTTGTGTGGGGCTTCCTTTTCCTGGGCATGAGTGTACGTCTCTGGTTGAGAGAGTGGGAGGTAGCGGGGGAGGGAAGATTGGTGATCCATCCTTATGTCCATCCTTATGGAAGCTGCCCTGTACCCTGGGCTTGCTTGGGGCCTAGGGAGGGGCCCAGATCACAACCATCCTTGATCTGGCTATATTGAGTCTGTTCTCTGGCCTCAGATCCAGGTATTTGAAGATGGAGCAGATACTACTTCCCCAGAGACACCTGATTCTTCTGCCTCAAAGATCCTCAAAAGAGGTAACAGCCACCCAGTTAAGTTGCCTTCCCACATCCAAAAGTCCCCAGGACTTCTCCCCAGAATACAGGGCCCCAGTGGTTCATGAGATTTTTCCATCACCGCCATATTCCCTTGTTACATCTCTTCTACCCCACCACGATGGTCTCTGCCCCCACCCTTCTATACAAACACACACTTTGTTTCTGCTTGCTTTCTACAGAGGGAACGGACTCAACTGCAAAGACCAGCAAACTGGTGAGTGGTTGGGGGTGGGAGTGGAGAGTAAGAGAGAGAAAGAGGGGAAGGAGACAGAGGAGGGAGACCATTCCTAGGCAGGTAGAAATAGTAGGTGAGTAAACGGAGTTAAGCCTTCCAGTCTCCAACCTCCCTGAGAAGAAAGCTTTCTGGGTATGAGTTGCTGCTTTAGGGGTAGAGTAAAGATGGTAGCAGGGAAGAACTGTTAGGGCCCAGAAGTTTAGGGTCAAATGGAGCCAAGGCTAGGGGTGATAGGAAAGACAGGTCTGACCCTAGTAGTGTTGTTGCCAGCTTCCTACCTTTTGGTACCCAAGGCTGCCAGGATCTTAAAGATCAGAGGTTAGGGGTAAGGTGAGAGCTAGAAGAAGAAGGAGCTCTCCTGTTCACAAGTGAATGGTAAGGAGCCAGGTCTACTGCTGCCTGTTTTAGGCTGTATGCAGAGGGCCCGTCGTTCTAATTCTCCTCCACTGTGCTGCGCAGGGTGTGTGAGGTGGGGATTCAGACCCCCCCCCAGCTTCTCTGTGTCAGGGTGTGGACATCCTGGAAGCTGATCCTTGAGGGACCCCTCTTCTCACTTACCCAGGAGTTGGCAGTGACTTGACTCTCCCCTTTACCTGTGTGTACTTGAGTTGGTCTTAACACCTCTACCCAGGATGTCTGGTCAGCTAGCGCACTGTGATGTCTGTTCTCTAACTCTGCCCTTTCCTACTCCTCATGCAGCGGGGACTGAAGCCTAAGAAGGTGGTGTGTTTACTATTGGTACCTGGGTGGGGGAGGGCCATGAGCCCCCTCCCCAGCTGTCCTGCATGTCCTTGGGCTGCTGCATGCATGTTTGTGTGACCTTGGGACTGGGATGGCCAGAGGAAATGGCGGCTTTGGCTTTCAGGGTTCCTTTGAGGGATGCAAGGATGTCAGGCTCAGTGTCCAGGCTCAGGTGGCACTCATTAGAGATGACTCCTGCACCTACTTGTCCCCCCTCCCCACTGCCTTAGGACTTCTAGTCAGAGACTCCAAACATTCGAATGTAAATGTAAAGCAGCAGCATGGAGTAGGGCATTTACTGGGTTACACTGGGTTTTCAGTCTGAGTTTGGGGGCAGTGGGAGGAAACCCTGGGAGGTTGGGAGGGGAGAAAATACCAGATGAGATGATTGGGCAAGGAGGCAGGAGGCCAGGGAGCAGAGCACAGGAAGAACAGTCCTGAGTTGGAAAGCTGGAGAGTCTGTGTGTGTGTTTCTGGGCGGGCGCTAGCCATGGATGCCCACCCTTGCTCTGCTCCATCGGTCTTTTCCTGCCTCTTCCTGCCTCTGGTGCTGTGCTGAGGCCCACCTCCCACCCCTTGTAGCCTTCCATCAGCCATCATTGTGTGGGGCTCAACTGTGCCACCCCCAGACACTTTTTAAACTCTTAAGTCACAGCCGTGACCACTTCCTCACACCAGCCTCTGCCTTGGGCTTGTGCCCAAGCCATCTCTGACCTGCATGTGCCCGTCTGACCTGTATGTCCTGTGCCGTATGTATGGTTCTGTGATTTCCTTGTGGCCAGCTGTCTCAGGCTCTTCGGACCTGCATGGAGAGCTACTGGATTGGGGCAGTGGGTGGGGAGAGGAAAACATCTTTTCGACTCCTGGTTGTCCAAGGTCCCCACTCTTGCCATGGAAGAGACCACATTTTGGTTTTGCTTTGAGGTCCTGGCTCCGGTGGGAGTGGGGATGTAAGAAGGAAAATAATGCCTAAAGGATGCTGAACCCATTACAAGGTTATAGAAACTTGGCTTCTTCCCTGGATTATTGTCTTCTCTTTGGGGCTCCCAGTCTTGCCTCAGGCCCTGGAGTAGAGAAGAGCATGGACCTGCAGTTCGATACCCATGGAGGAGTTCTCGCCACAGGGGGAGCTGACCCTGGGCAGGGCCTGAGCTATGTCCGAAAGCGGGGGTTTGGGCCGCTACCTGGGGAGATGTGGCAAAGCCCAGCCTAAGCTACCTGTGCTGGGTTACAGGGCCTTCTTTGCTCCTGTGCACAGCGCCAGATAGTCCCGTCCACAGCCAGGTCTTCCTTTCCAGTGGCTCTCTCACAGCAGACCACTTAGCCCAGGGCCCTGCTCTCACCCCCGGGGGAAACAGGGAGCCAGCACCAGAACCAAAAAAAAAAAGAGGAACTTTGAAGGGGAGGCAGAGGGAACCCAGATGTCTCTGCAAGGTGCCCAGTCCCTTCTGGAAGGTCTTTAGAGACAGGCTTTAACCTGCCTGCAACCAGGGGAGGTTTGGGGGAGGAGCCAAATACTGTCACTAGAGCTGCTCCTGAATGTTCCCTGGGGTTTCTTAGTGTCATTTTGTGCCCCTCAGAGCGGGTGCTGTCACAGCAGGGGTATTCTGGGTGCGTGTGCCTCATGAGAGACCAACCTTAAGGGCGTTGTCCGTGTGTGTAACAGACGAGTGGAGTTGATGGGGCTGTGGGCAGAGGGGAGTGTATGAGAGGCTGGTGGAGCAGTGAGGCTCCTGGCCCTGCCCAGTCATGCCTTGGCCCCAGAGAGTACCGTTTCTGGGATGGCCCCTAGCCCAGTTTCTTGGACCAGACTCTTGGGGATGGC